CCCACCCCCCCAGCCCACACCCCTGCCTACCCAAACTACTACACCACCCCACCCAGCCCCACCGCCCTAGCCTATAGCCTTGAAAACCTCACCCTCACCCAACCCAACTGGTACATGGACACCGGAGCTTCTCACCACATCACTTTCGACCCAGGTACTTTATCTCATGTATTTACTTCAAGCATTAATTCTCCTTCGAATATTATTGTTGGTAATGGATCTAAAATGAGCACTACTGGTTTTGGTAAGGGCACCCTTCCCACATCCCCTCCCCTCACTCTAAACAATGTTTTAATATCCCCACACATTATCCATAATCTCATATCTGTCAGTCAATTTGCTCGTGACAATAATTGCACCATTGAATTTGGCTCTTGTGGTTTCTCTGTAAAGGACAAATTGACGGGAGCCGTGATTCATCGATACAATAGTGACGGACCTCTCTACCCCATCTCCCAAGCGCCCTCCAACGCACAACTCAACTTGGCCCAAGTCGATCTCTCCACCTGGCACCGACGACTTGGACACCCCAGCCCCGCTGTTCTCCATGGCGTGTCGTCTTCTTTAGCTAGTTTTTCTAAATCAATTCATTCTTCACTTTTCACCCGTCCCAAAGAATACTTTCATTTTCAATTAAAATAAACTCCATCTGATCTCAAAAACATTTCCTGTTTTTATTCTTTTTTTTTCAAACAGTGACACCCTTTAACCATAAATTGATCCTAATCTAAATAAATAAATGATGTAAAATTTTGATATATCAAAACAATTTTCTAAGATGAACCTAATCATATTGAATTTATATCATAATTAAATATAATTTTCTCACAACTTGAAGGTCACAAATAATAAATTTTTGAGATTTGTCATCATTTTTGTTTGTGTATTTTTGTATTCTATAAAACTAACCGTAGGAACTTAAAGTAATTGAATGGGATAAAAATTTAACTATTACTTTTTTGACTGATACATTAATAAATTGGTGTTACCGCGCAAAAAACCATAAACTCCCTCCATTATTCCTCCCATTCAAAAAATTTGCAAATATCTTATATAAATCGTATTTTTCCTTTGTCTTCTTAATAAAATGTAATTAAAGTCACAACTCTAATAAATCTTCTAATCTTCTCTTCATTACCCAAATGTCTCAATTTACATAGTTGGATCATCAATAAAAAAAATCAAAGAGTAAATTTTCAAAATAGTCCTTTGTAATACGGTGTTTTCTCAAATCAGTCCTCAATAAGTTTTAATTACCTACGAGATTCTCTATAATTGAGATTTATTTCCAAGATAGTCCTTCGTAAATAATGTTAGTCAAATTAGAATTAATTGAGGGTATTTTGATATTTTTTATCTGCTAAATTTAGAATTAATTCTAAAAATGATCATTTATAATGAAGTTCTTTCCCAAAATGGTTTTTTCTAATTAAATATGTGTATTTGATTTGAAATTTAAAACATTTGTTATAAGTTTTAAACAATTCATGAATTATTTATAGCCAATGTATTTTTTAAATTTTACATTTAGTTGTAGAGAAATGACTGTTTCGAGAACATACTTTAAATTTTGATGATCAAAATACCAAAATATTTTCCAATTAATCATCATTTGAATTACATTATTTACGAAGGACTATCTTATGAATAAATCTCAATAATAGAGGACCACGTAAGTAATTAAAACTTATTGAAGGCTGAATTGAGAAAACTCCTTATTACAAATGACCATTTTGGGAATTTACTTAAAATCAAAACATCTAAAAAAGATCTGTCAAATTTAATTAACTATGTAAAATTCCCGTCATCCCAGTGTAACTTAGAATTTTATGTACTCCGTAATTGGAATGTGCTACCATAATCTCACATTTTTAACTTCTTGTTTGACTTCATATTTTACATAGATACACATACACGATAATTGCTTGTGCGACACTGACAATTACTCCCTTCATCCTAAAATCATCTTCCCGTTGGTGTTTACGAGTATAACTGACTTTATTTTCAATTAAATTTGTTTGATTGTAGGTGTAAAATAAAAATATGAAATTTATATATTCTAAAACTACATCAAAAGTTCTACAAAACAAGAGATGATGACAAGATTATATTATTTTATCAAATAACTAACGAAAATAAGTAAAGAAGGTCATTTAAGTTTTACCGCATGAATAGTAATTGAAAAGACAGTTTTAGAAGGGAGAAATTATCTTCTATGTTTATTTGTGCAAAGCATGGTGTAAATTAAAATATATGGTTACCATGGTTTATTCTTCGTAATTAGACACTGATAAGTCTAATAAAATTATTCTTGTATCAATATTTAACATCATTTTTATTTAATTTGAGATTAAAATTTATTAATTTTGATCAAAAAAAGTCAAAAATTTGGCAAATACTCGGAGATGAATGAAATAGTTTATTTTCTTTTAATGAAAAAAATATTTTGCAAATGGAGGGGAGTATTTTGAAATACCTTGGTATCATAGACAACATGGTAGGACTGAAGGGAAGGAAAGCGGCTGCCCATTTGGTCGATCCACGAGTCGGACTCCTCGAGGAAGACGGTGCGGCCGCCCTGGTTAAGGGCGGTCCACATCAGGCTGTCGTAGCCGAGCCCGAAGACGAGGAAGTTGCACGGCGACTTCCTCTCCAGAACTCTCATCGACACCGAGATCTCGTCGAGCGTCTGCTGCGGCGTCACCGTCGTGGTGGCGTAGTGGACCAGTGCCGCCGCCAGCGACGCCGGAATCTTGCCGCTTCCGGTCGCCTGTTCTCGACTTTCCGGCGAAGTTTGCTTTGAATAGAGGAGTGAGAGCGGGGAAAACATTGATGATGGGATTGTAATGAAGTACACGATAAGGAAGATGATGCTGATGAGGATGAATTTCACGCTTGAGTTTATGGTGATTTGCTCTTTTGATCTCATCTTTTTGTAATAAGATTTTCTTTAGGGCAATCTATGATTATTAATAATATGAATATTAATGCTTTTTTATGGAACTCTAAATTGAATCAATGAAAGTGATGAGGATATATATATATATATATATATATATATACTCCCTCCGTCCTAATTTATTTGCAACACTTCGAACGACGTGCAAAATATCATCTCTTTTAAAATTACTTTAATTTCAAATTGGTAGAGTAATAAAAAGTAAAAATTACACCATTCAAAAGTATCTGAAAAGTTCTACAAAATAAGATGCAACAAGAATATTTTATTTTATCAAATGGTCAACCAAAACGAGTAAATAAACAAAAGTTATCGAGAGGCCAGAATAGTAACTGTGACATTCTTTTTGGAACGGAGGGAGTATGTATATATATACACACACACACACACACACACACACATACACATACATACATACATATATATATATGTATGTATGTATGTATGTATGTATGTATGTATGTATGTATGTATGTATGTATGTATGTATGTATGTATATATAAAGGTCGGTTCCTGTGAAAATGCACCTTGTGGAGAGAAATGAGAATAAAATCTAGCCGTTGGATCTGATGCATCGTGCGGCTCAGATTGCATCCTGCGCTCAGATTTTGAGATGGTGCATTTTCAAAGGATTGTAGTGCATTTCGACGTGATGCATTTTTAAACCATTTTGGTGCATCTAATTTTGATGCAATCCTGACCCTTAGATCTCACAATCTAAAACACCAGATTCATTCTCATTTCTCTCCTAAGATCGCATTCTTGCCAGAAACTACATATATATATATATATATATACATATATATATATATATATATATATATATATATATATATATATATATATATATATATATATATATATATATATATATATATATATATATATA